GTACATATGTGTGTGTGTGTGTGTGTGTGTGTGTGTGTGTGTGTGTGTGTGTTGTTATTTATTACAAACAACATACAATTTAAAAATATTTTATTTACAAGAAAACAATATCATCAGTATTTTCTAAAACTTGATATACCTTCATGTGTGATATAAAAGATCCTTTATACTTCCTGACACAAGCTTTTATGCAAGAGTTGTCAGAACAGAAGTCCTGTATTTTTCGTATTTCCCAATTGCTAGTAAGCCATTAATTAATAAAAATTCATGAATAAACATATACTTAGAAGAAATAGCCTTTTATTGTTACTAGAAACAATGCTGCTAGATGTTTGCATGCGTGCAAATAAGCGAATAGTACATTATTTGTAGATCATACTTCCAAACATCTCATCGCATTCCTAACTATTTCATAAATGCGCGTAATATTGATCTGCCTCTTCAGACAAGTTCACCCTTATCTTTCTATTTATTAATAACTTTTTTATTAATTGCCAAACTCGCGGGGTGATAAGGATTTTTTATTTATTGTCGACTTTATCTACATATAAGCTTCCTGTCAATAATTATTAGATAGCCTGTAGAAAAGAATCTAAACGAATACATGTATAAAACACAAATAATATTATAACATTATTATATAATGTTTCATATTACAATTTTTCATTCTAAAATTAATGAATTTGCAGAATGTATGCAAATTAAGATGATGTTAATTTTGCAGATACAGAAATGGATACGTAAGAATCTTGCTAATTCATTACTTCAGAAAATTGAACGCAAAATAGAAATGCGCCTCAAGAAACACTATAATACTATAGATGATGTATGTAAGATGATCCTGCTTTAATCTTTAATGGATTATATAAGAGAAGATTGCATTAAATTTATCCTGCTTTGTGTACATTTCGATATTACTGCCAGTACTAAAAATGTATCCGTAATTCGTGTTTCATAGGTTTTCAATATTGTTAGAAAAAATCAGAACATACAATCTAGGATTTGTCATTTTGTTGTTAAAAAACATATCGATATTCACGCCTTTCTTGCTTTCCACTTTGTAGATATCTCTTTGTAACATTCAACAATCAATCTCAAAGAAAAAAAACAGACTAATATCATTAGAAACTTTTGACATTTATGTTAGCATTATTTTAAAATATATTATTAATATTATTATAAATTATTCTTGTACATAGTTAATATTATAATGATTATTAAAAATATATACTATAATGCGTATACAACTTCTATACGTATATTTTAAATATATATGTATAATAAACGTCAAATAATACTAATGATTTTACATTAGTCTTATCTTTGACTAGTTGATTAGTCTTATTTTTTTAAATTGATTATCACGCTTTACGAAAGGAATTACAAAATAACTAAGAATAAAAAGGCGTGAATATTGCTAATTAGTTCAAAATTACAATTATAAAACTGGCACTGCATTCATCAATACAATTAACGAAATGATTTAAATTCCTAGGCTACGCTTAGAAAATTTTTGTTTAAAGTGTTAATTTAAATAATTATTTATTGTTTATCTATTGTAAAGATGATTTTCATTTTTAAATAAATTTGACTTAAGCATTTATCAATAGCGTTTTATTATATGTTTTAATTTTAGAAGCGTTACAGAAACTATTGGGACAATCGTTAAAAATATTTCATTAACCTTCTGTAAAATTAAACATAAATATGTATCAACATTTATTTGTTTCGAATTACGTAAAATTTTAAGATTGTAGAAGTAAATTTCTGAAAAAATGAATTTCCTATTAACAATATTATTAAAGATTTTGAACGTATATATACAGAATGTATATTGTTTACATGTATATTGTTATACATTTAGAATGTGTATATATATATATATATATATATATAGTAGGTGTGTTTA